AGCTAGACTTGCATGAAGATTTCTAAGTAACAAAAACTCCATTTTATATAAAATTATGGCTCCAAAATATGGATACAAGATTTTAGAAGATAATATGAAGAGGAATGTATCTCCCTCATGGAAGATTATTTCTGATGGAGGTAAAGTTTTGCAGCCATTCTTAAAATGGAGTGTGGCTAATGGATCTTTAATTGATGTATTTGAAGATAAGTGGCTAATGGATAGAAGTATCAACAAATGGCCTATATTTGTTGTTCCTCAAGGAGAAGAACCGGTAATGCTGGATAGATTCATTGAAAACAAGGAATGGAATGTGGCTGAATTGCTGAAGATGTTTGGTAGTGAAATGGTGGAGCTCATTTTACATACCAAAATCAAGAGAGATCAATGGATGGATGAACAAGAGTTGATACACCAAAAATCTGGCATAACAATAACAGAGATGATTGCTGAAGCTAGGAATAAAAATTAGCTTGAATGCAAATATTCAAAATGGTTAATAAAGGCTAAGCTAGTCCCACAGGTGGAAGTATTATGTTGGAGGTTCTTCAAGGAAGATATTCCAACATACAAGTTTCTATCCCATAGAAGATTGCAAGATGTTGAAGATTGCCCAAGATGTTTGGACGGTATTGAAGATATGGAGCATGTTCTAGTCAAATGTAGCAAGATGAAAGAGGTAATGTCGAAACTAAATAAATGGGGATTTGGAATTACGTTATTCGAATCCTTTGAAGACTGTTGAAATTGGAAGGAGATAATGGAAAATCACAATTGTATGCTTCTTAATTTGTTTTGCAATGCCTTGTATCTTTCATGGAAAGCTAGAAACAAGTTTACACATGAAAATGTGATAGAAAGTGTAATATTTGTGGCTGCTAATGCAGTCAGCTTTTCTTCTTTCTCTAGATTTATTATTAACTTTAAATCAGAATTATGGGCAATCTTTCGAGGAATTCTCTAGATTGCTAATGCAGTCAGCTTTTCTTCTTCCCTAAACTAGCCCCTTAGGCTGTCCAATAATTGGTATCCCCCTCCACCCGATTGGTTAAAAATCAATGTAGATGCTTCACTTGAATCTTCTTATAGAGCCGACATTGGAGGAATTATAAGGGACTGCAAAGGAAGATTCTTAGTGGATTTTGGTAAAAAAATGCATACATTGGGACATTTATTATTTGGAGCTTCTAGCCATAAAGTCATTGAAGGAAGTGGTCAAAGATTGGATTTCAAATACAAGGGAGCAATCATTGAAGGTGACAATGCAAATGTAATAAGAAGGCTCCACAAGGCACGGATTGATGACTTCAAGGGAGAAGATGATTTTTTTTTCCTTAATGAGTTTAACTATGTCATTTTTGCTTGTGCTGATAGAGGTAGTAATAAGCTAGCCGATATGTGTGCAAAGTATGTTATGGCTATTAATTTCATTTGGGAAGATTTATGATTGAATATGATTCCTCCTTCATTTGTGAATTTATTGAAGGAGGAATCAACATTGTAGTTGTTTTTTTATTTCTTTTTCCATTTCTATTAATGCATTTATTGCTTATTTCAAAAAAAAAAAAAAAAAAAAAAAAAAAAAAAAAAAAAAAAAAAAGACTAAGTAGACCAGGGACTACGATGGCCCGGGACGACGGAACCATGGGTTCTTGATCGGGTCCATCATCCATTCCCCCACCATCTATTTTAAGTGCAAGATGGTGAAAATTTCTATTTTAAATATCAAATCTTCAAACTTTTCAAATTCTCAAATCCAAGCTCATGTTGCTATTAATGCCAGATACATATATTTATACGTATCTAATTGATGACTAGCCTTAATCAAAAGTTCTCTCTCATTATTGGGAGGGGTAATTAATAATAGGGGCTTGCGCCTATAGGAAACCAGAACTCATATTATAAATTCCTCGCAAAATGAGGGCAAAATCTATGGGTAGTGTCCTATATACAAACCCATCTGCCTTCAAAACTTTACCTCGGAACTTAATCTGATAAAACTCCCCCCGAAAAAAAAAAAAAGCAAAAGTGGGCAGAGGCCAGGGTCGAATTTTCAGAGCCCATAGAGAGGTAGTGCGTACACCTGTATTCCTAGAGGACTCATATGTGTTGCAAATCTTCTATCTCCACTTGCAGTAGATTGGTGTATTTTATTGTAAACTAATGTTGGCTATCTTCATGTTCTTGCTTATAGGCATATTACTGCACTTTACAAACCATCACTAGTGAGTAGTTTGTCATTAGAACTCCTTTGGGTATTGCACAGGAGCATTCTATAGTAGCTCATAGGAGCTCCTATGCTTGTATCTCTTTGTTGCATTTGCTATGTACCTTTCATATTTGGCTTACATAAGATCAATATGTCTTCCATTAGATGGTTGTTAGCTGTTGGAATATTGTAGCATTCACTACCTGCTGCTACAACGACTTATAGGCACTTTGCATATGTTGCAAACATACCGCCTTCGCTTATAGTGGATCAATACATTTGCTTGATGATTACTTATTATTGATTGCAAGATGATCCAATGTCTATTACACATTGTTCATCATCATATGCAGGTGGATTATTGTATGCATGATAATCTTTCTACAGCCACTTATGGGCAAGCTGTAGTGTCTTCTAGCATTTATAATCCTTTCACCAATATTCTTAGATGAATATGATAGGAACTACTACATCTTTTTGCATGACTTCTACGAAGAATATCATCAACTCCAACTTTTTTATTCACAAGGCAATGTTGTAAAGCATTTGCTTTATTTGCTAAATGCATTTCATTCAGTCTCGTTGAGTGTATTCATAGGATAATTATCTGTGTTATTGTCTGCAAGCAGATGTACGTGTTCAATTACACATTAACACTGCTCATCGGGTGAGTTGCATTCATCACTATTGCTTATATGATAAATCACATACAATTGCTTGTAAATATTTCTGCTTTGATCTACGAGCAAATGATTGTATGCAAGAAGAGTCTTTTATCATTGCATATAGGCAATATATGCGTCCCTTGCTTTGGATCGTTGTTGTTTGCAAATTGACCTCACAAGGATACTGATGTATTTATTGCATGTCGACTTCCATCATTCGTTGATGTTCCTCACTTGTATGCTTTAAGAGTTTATTCATTGTTCATTTGCATTGGGAGTTTATAGGCCACTTGTAATGTGTCTTGTTCATTGATGCTTATTTGGAGGTCTTGCATCATTGTTCACAAGCAACTTGTAAGCAAGATTCCACTTCTATCACAAGTCCTTGTACTTTGCTTGTATGGTTGGCATCTATTTGTTTGGCGTCATTATTTGTAGCTGTTCATTGCCATTTGTAAGTAGATCATGCATCTATTTGAAGACATATTATTGCACTTTACACTTAATCTTTACTTGCGAATAGGTAGCATTTGTTACAATCATTTTTGAATCAATTATACTAAAGTCATGCTGATATCCGCAAGTCTTTTGTTTGATTATTAATATTCATTAGAAAGATCTAAGTCTTTATTTAGCATTTACATTAATATAATTGAGTATTTGCTAAGTTAAAGTACCATTCCATAAAATTGAGTTCATGTTCTTTAGCATCAAGCCCCACGTGGTCATTTTGAATTCAGGTCTTCTGCATTTCGTTTAAGTTCAAGTGCAGTTCACTATCGGTTGTTCAATTCAAGTTCATGTCCACTATGTTCATTTCGAATTCATGTTTGAGCTCATTAGATTCAAGTATATTTTATTAATCATTTGCTTGGTGTTCAAATACAAGTCTGAGTCCAAGTACAAGTTGTCCAAATCTTGTCCAAGTCCTTTGTGGTCCAACTCAAGTCTTTGCTTGAGTTCAAATGTTCAAATCAAGCTCAAATTTAAATTGTCCACATTTTATCCAAGTTAGGTCCTTTATTTCACCAGAAAATTCGTCAGCCTCCCAGCGTCTTCCCCATTTAGGGGGAACCACGGGAAATTGAATCATCCCACCACGCTACTCAAGCATATATGGTAGATGTCAGGGGACACAGGGTCGTATATATTTCATCCCATCATGCTACACGAGCGTGTATGAGATATTTAAAAGCACCCGTATGAAGGACACAAGTGGATCTCTTCACCACGCTATAAGAGCCTATATAGGGCTTACCCACCTCACTATATGCGCTACACCGGGCTCCCACCTACCGTGCTATGAGAGCGCATATAGGTGGTTTTTCAGTCAGTCATAAATGTAAAAAATGAGATTTTAGGTGATTGTCTGTCCGCCTCATCGTAGGCACCAAATCGATTTTCCTCTAACTGTGTTACGAGAGCGTATATAGGGGGTTTGCTGGTTCGCTGCAAACATTGAGAGCGAAGTTTAAGTTAGAGAGGTTATATCGTGGTGGTTGGCGAGGTGATGGTGTCAGCTCGTGGATCGAGGTGAGAGAAGTAGGTGTCCTTTAATTTCTTTCTTAATCGATAAAAAATAATTATAATTAATACTAATTAATCATTATAATTAATTAAGATTGAAATTAATTAAAATTAATCTAATTATTTATAATTAATAATAATTGATTATGAATAGTTATACAAAAATATTAATTAAGATTAGAAATAATTAATTAGGCTTAATCATACTTACTAATTAATTATAATTATTTGTAATTAATAACACATAATAAATGATCATAATTAATCAAATAGGATTAATTATGATTAATGAAATATTAGGACAAGATTAGGGCAGAATTAGGGACTATTAGATCCCACTGCAAGTTAAACCTCTCTCCCTCTTTACAATAAATCCCTGTAAAAGAGCAGTATTAAAAAATACCTCTAGTTCACAATGAAGAGCAGTATTAAAAAATGCTAATCTTGTGATAGAATACCACATGTTTATTGTTTGGTCCTGTTTTTGTTTTCGTTGGAGCATTAAGGAATCTAAGTAGTTTTTTTTTATATAATCTATTATTTATTTTATTTTATTTATATTTTAATTTCTATATCGAACCAAATTAGTAACACCACCCTAAGAAAATCTTGATACTGGATCCGAAGTTAATCAACAAAGATGAATATTCATAACACATTTTCTTACAGATTTTTTCTACAGATGAATCAAACCTGAAACTCTCACACTCATAGCTCACCTGAAGCTGGAAAGACGAAAATCACATACTGTTGCTTATAACACATTAGTTGGTCTTCTTCCATGCCTTGAGCCTGAAAACAAGCTCTTATTCTCAAGAAAACTCTATATTATTCAGCAATTTCGACAGGTACAGTACTTCCTCATATGGTTGAATGATTTGAATTGATGGTGATCAAGTGACTTGAAAGAACTAAGAAGAAATAATCCCTCAGTTTTGAAACTCAACTGCTGGGCTTCTGTTCATTACTTTGTAGAGCCTGCAAGAAATATAAAAGGTTGTTCATGCCTGCTAATTGCTTGACATGTAAGCTTAAAGACAAAGAATGCAGCCAATATATTAAATTCATATTCTATCGGACATTGCTTTAAGAATCTAAATATGAACCACCATCTCAAAGTAAATAATAACGAAAGAAGAATCAATGGATAAATAATTGAGGGAGACTTCAAGAACATGTTCATTAAGGATCCATAACTGGCAGCTGAAACTAAGACTGTGGTGCCTAGAGAGACTCTAAAGCAATGAATAATGAAGCATGAACTATGATGAGCATGGTTAGCTCAAAATGCTTTCAAGCTGATTCAAACTTCGAAGGTACTTTCTTTCGATCGTTCTTTCAATGTGTAGCCAGATTAAATCAGATTAATAGTTATGATATTTTCTGGTTTATATCAACGTAAGTTTAATTCTTTAAGAAGGCTGTTAGGGCCCAACCTGAACCGGTCCTAATTAGATCGGTTTGCTATAGAAGGTGGACCCTAAGGGGGGCTGAAATGGGAAGGGAGGGCAGCACATGGGAGGGGACCAAGCATAATGCAAGCATTGATGGGAGCTTGGGTTTGGGAGGGAAAATTCAAATGCGGAGGGATGTTTAGGGATTCAACATTAAATAATTGTATTATGCTTTAAGTATTATCCTCTTTGGCTAGGGTTGGGGGTTATCTTGAATTTGAGCTTAAATTTAAGATCTCTTGTGTTTTGCTTTTGGGGCTCTAAGCTTGGGCTAGGGATTTTGAGAGTGAAATCTTCCTCTTGAATTGAAGATTCATTGTATCAAATATTTTCTTTTCAACTAGTAGTGAATATCCATTGCTATTTTTTTTTTTTGGGGATTTTCATACAAATTTTCATCAAAAGCTGCTCAATATTGCTGCTTTTCTCTGATTTCCTGCAAGTTTTCTTTATTTTGGTGGCTGTTTTCTATCAAATTGGTATCATAGCACATCGATCTACGGGGAATCAATGGCCGGAAGGAAAGAAGAAGTTTTGGAGGGAGAACTTGGGCGCTCAAATCAGATTTTTAGGAAAAATTTTTTATTTTCAAAATCAGATCGCATCCGTCAATGAAAGAATGGAAGGAAAGTTTACTGTGATGGAAGAGATGTTAAAAAAATTGCTTGAAGCCAAACCAAATACGGCAACATCATAAGCGATGGAAGCCATCTGCTGCCATGGGAGAGGTGGAAACTCTAATCCTTTTAGGGGAAGGGAAAATTCGAAATTGGAAATTCTGGAATGAGAAGATGAAATGACTCCGCTAGAATCGCTTTATGGGGAGGAGAGAAGCGTGGGGTACGAACGAAGAGGTGTTGATTTTGCAAGGGGAAGGGAGGATTACGATCGTCGGGGTGCGGATTTTGAAAGGAGGGGATTTTGAAGAAGGCTTTGGGTATGAGCGCCGAAGGGAAGAGCGTGACAATTGGGTAGCACCTCCTCTTCGAGGAATGGGGGGTTACGGAGGATTCAAGGGAAACATGGGTGACCGGAGGGTAAGGAAGTTGATGATGCCCATCTTTGAAGGCGAGGATGCCCATGGGTGGATATACAAGGTAGAGTGATACTTTGCGGTCAATGGACTTACGAAGGAGGAGAAATTGACAACAGCTGGATTGTGCTTGGAAGGAAAGGGGTTGTCATGGTATCAGTAGAGGGACATGAGGCAACCCATCCGGAGTTGGAGAGAGTTCAAGGATTGCTTACTAGAATGCTTCCGAACCAGTAGGGGAGGGGACTTCTATAAGAAGTTATACGCCTTGACTTAGGAGGGGACCGTGGAAGAGTATCATAATCGGTTTGAGTACCTAGCTAGTAGGCTAGAACGGCTTTTTGAGACCATGTTAGAGGGGAACTTCATGAAGGGAATCAAATCAGAGATCAGAGCAGCTGTGAGAGTGATAAGGCTACATGACTTGGGGAAGCTATGGAGTTGACACAATTGATCGAGGACCAAAAGCATCTGGAGAGGTATGCTAGAGGCAGCAACTCGGAGGGTTTATATAGGATGACTACCACTTTTCTAACTCCCAAAGGAGTTGCACTAGGAGGTTTGCATGAAGTACCAAGAAGAAGTCTGGAGGAGGCGGATTTGGGGGAAATTTCAAGAAGCTTACTGAGAAGGAGTTGCAGGAGAAGCAGGCAAGGTTGTTGTGTTTCAGATGTGATGAGAAGTACATGTCAGGGCATAGGTGTAAAAATTGAACTCTTTAAGTTCTCACCGTCTGTGATGATGAGGAAACTGAATAGGAGGAGAGAGCAGGCAAATGGTGGAGGAAAAAGAGAAGTTGCATTTGGATGTGTCGAAAGTCTCTCTAAACTCAATGGTGGAATTCACCCCAGTCACACCATGAAAGTGAAGGGCGAAATAGCTGATCGTAAGGTGGTAGTGTTGATCGACACCCACCCACAATTTCATCTTCAATCAGATTGTGGATATGTTAGGAGTGAAATTAGTGGATGCTGGGGGCTATGTGGTGATGATGGAAATGGGAAAGGTGAAGATTATTCAAGGGATCCATATGATGGAGGACTTTCTCCCATTGGAGTTGGGAAGCACGGATCTCATCATGAGGATGAAGTGGCTACAGACCTTGGGGGATACCAAGGTCAATTGGGGAGCACTGTGGATGGAGATGGTGGTAGGGGGAAGGAGGATGGTGATTCAGGGTGATGCTGGACTGTCTAAAGCTGGAGTATATCTCAAGTCTCTGATCAGAACCATACAAGATATGGGTGGAGGATTTTAATGGAATTGTAGCGCTTGGAAGGGGTCAGATAGAAGGATGTGGAGGGTATTCTTACTTTAATTCAGCCGCTTATACAGGAGTTTAGTGAGGTCTTTTAATCTCCCCTAGGCCTACCACCACAGAGAGAGCCGGAGCATGCCATTACCTTGAAGGAAGGGGTTTCACCAATTAGTGTTTGCTTATACCACTATCCCCTAATTCAGAAGGATGAGATTTAAAAGTTGATCCGTGAGATGATGGAGGCAGGGATCATCAGGCCAAGAGTGAGTCCTTTCTCTAGCCTAGTATTACTAGTCAAGAAAAAGGACGAGAGCTTAAGATTTTGTGTGGATTATAGGGCTGTGAACAAAGGAACAGTGCAGGATAAGTTCCCTATTCCTGTGATTGATGAGTTCTTGGATGAACTGCATGGAGCAATGGTATTCTCTAAGTTGGATTTCAAGTCAGTTTATCATCAAATCAGAATGAAGGAGACAAGTGTTCAGAAGACAACCTTTAGAATACACGAGGGGCACTACGAGTTTCTAGTGATGCCGTTTGGGTTGACTAATGCCCCTGCTACTTTCCATTCTTTGATGAATGGGGTGTTTCGATCCTACCTCTGAAAGTTTGTTCTAGTTTTTTTTTTTATGACATACTAGTGTACAGTAAGACCAAGGAGGAGCATCTAAACAGGGTTCTCTAATTTCCAGCAAGTTTTCTTTATTTTGGTGGCTGTTTTCTATACAAGGCTTAATGCATTCTTCTAAAATTCTCAATATATTAGATTTTTAGATAATAAACTGACAATTGCTCAAAATAATTTCAAAACAACAGGGAGCTCTACTTGATGGAATTTTGGATTAAATTATTTGGAAAGATTTTTGCCCCAAATAGTTTGGATAAAGCTAATAGATAAAGCTAATAGGATGATAATAATGATTTGAGGTGATTCATGGACCAGTCATGGTCAACATTCCTTCCAATTAGATGAAAGTAAGTAAAATTTGGTAAAAAGGCTATTCTACAAGCATTTAACAAGCTGCTTCTATTACCCATGCGGCAATAAACTGAACTTTCATTGTTGTTCCCTAGCTGCCACAAATCTACTCACAAAAATTTGAAGGTGAAGAGGTGCAAAAAAGGGTGAAAAACTTATTTGATTTAGATAAAAAAGATGAAGAAATGTTTAAAAGTAACGATTGAAATATTTTTTTAATTAAAAAAATTTAAGAGTTACTCATAAATTCATAAAATAACAATTTGTCAAATGAATACTGACCCCAACTGACGTTACAAAATTGCAGACTGCACATTTTACAGATCTTGCACCATATTGATACATCAATAGCATGCGACAGTTTCCACAGTTCACATGTGCAACTTGATTAGCTGCAACCACAACCAGAAATAATCATCATCAGCAATTTTATTAAACAAAATTTCAAGTATTAGATTTCTCTAAGAATTTTTTTTTTTTTTAATTTTTTAATCTTGTATGCCGACAAGCACTGCATCAATTACAAGGAAAAGAAGAGTGATTTATTGCAAGAGTGGCTTGAAATCGATACTGTTGATTCTCACAGACGTATTTCTAGTTACTCCATATGTTTATCATTTTTAGATATTAAGAAATTTAAAAGAAACATCATCACATCTAGGAGATGGTTTAGTTGTATGACCAGTAAGATATCCATCAAAGCTGTTTGCAAAGAAAAGTTTGAGGATCTGAAGCCGTCAAATGGGATAGTTTTCATTTGTAAGTTGATTGTGGATTATGAGTTTGAGGTTGGTCATGAGAAACTTATGTGGAGAGGGAATGGTGAAGTCGGCCATTGCTGCTGACATGGAGGATGTGTGTTGAAACAGAGAAGATGAGTTGTGATCAGCCACATTGAGGTGAAGGAGGGAAGAAGGGTTATTGCCTCGGCTCTGATACCATGAAGGAAGTCCTGCAAGGTTAGTTAAGAAAAAAGCTAAAAAGAGAAGATAGCAGAGGAGATGATATCTGATTCATTCCATTTCAATGGAAAAGCACACAGGCTTTACAATAGCAGTTTGTATATATAAGTAAAAGGGAATGATCTAAAATGAGCAGAACTGGAAACCAGGAGGTATGTCAGAAGTAGTGGAGACATTCATGTGCTGATATAGTGGGAAACAGATGGGTTTTGTGGTCTTCCGGTACACCTTGAGTGGTCTAACACTATTATTCGTTGAGTTATTTTAGGATTACAAGTTTGGGGAGCTTAGTACAAGATTAAGAGTCTATTAGAGTTATTGGAAGAGTAAATCATGCAATTGCAGAACAACTGGTTCTCTTGGTTCATGCATGTGTCAAAAACATGCTTTTAAGATTGATGTTGGCTCATTTAAAACCAAAAAGTAAGAAAAAGAACTAAGAAATAACAATAGCTATCTAGATAGAAGATTAAGAGGAAAGAACATCAGGAAGTGAATGAAAGGTCAATGAACTTAACATGATCTTGAGGTTGGTTGATGTGAAACATATGTGAATGGAGGGTGAATTAGGAACTTGCACGCTTGATCCAAAGAACAATATTATTTAAAAGCTTTAAGTGATAAAACGACGAGATAAAACAAGAGAGCGGTGTCATAAGTTTAGGCTAAGTCACATATATAAAAGTTAAAACCACAAAAGTAAGCAATTACTCTTAACGTTGCATATGAGATAGGTTTCAACAGTGAATCCCTACAATAACAACAAGACTAGTCACTACAAGATGATCCAACACTCAACTCATTAAACTCTAGGATTAAGCGGATAACAATTGACAAGATTTCTTATGAATCAATTAAGCCACAAAATAGAGTAACGATGGAAATAAAGGATTAGGGAAAGAGTCCACCAATTTCAAGTAGTAACCAGCGATGGATGACCTCAAATCAGCCACCTCGTTAATCTACTAGGTCTGGACAGCAGTCTAGAATAAGTATGGAATTCTGGACAGCGTTGGGGCCTCCCGGGTGAGGGTGTGGTGCAAGGAAGCCTGTAGAATTGCTGGACAGCAGCTACGACGTCATCCCGGACAATTATGCTTGCTGAATTTGATACTTGTGGACAGTGGGCTGCAATGGTGATCTCTCCAATTCACTGGACAGCATTTGTAATGGCAGAAAACCTGTAACAACCCTTGGAGGGCTTCGGGATAGTAATCGGGGTGACTTCACGTCACAGAACAGTGAGGAAACTGGGTTGGTTCTTCTTGGCAGCAAGCTGAGAAGGGGAAGACCAGCAAATTGGACATCTAGGACAGCTGGAACGTGGAACTCTTGTGCAGGAATTTGGTGGCCGTATGAGGCGTTTGGGAATTTTCCATTGGCACTTTTGATGGGAATTAACTAGGTGACCAACAGGGAAGGGGGCGGGTGGGGCTAAGCAAGATCTAGGTTGGAAAATCTGAAATTAATTTCAGATTTCCTAATTTTAATTTGGACTTTTAATTTCAAAATTTTTGAAATTTGAAATTTAGGCTTAGGAGGGAAATTAGGAATTAATGAGGCCTTATTTGAAGCCATGAATTAAGCTTCTAATTAAGGAGAGGAGTAATGGGTGGCCGGCCATAAGGAAAGAGGGAAGATTTGATTAATTAAGTGGGGCCCACGCATTAATAAAGAATTTAAAGAAAAAATTGAATTAAATTTCAGATTTTATATGAAAGGAAAGTTTCCTAATTAAAATGCTATTAATTGGGAACCGTTTGAATTTCAAATTTGAATTGAAACTCAATTAAAAAGCTTGCCTAAAATCTTGGATTTATTTTAGGAAAGTCATTAATGCCTCTTGGGAAATTTGAATTTTCAAATTTGTGATCCCAAGAGGGGGGGCCGGCGGCTAAAGAAATGGAGAGGGGAGGATGGGAGGAGGAAGGCCGGCGGCTGGGTGGTTGGTGGGTGGTGGCCGGCGGCTGGGGCTACCCAAGGAGGCCGGCGGCAAGGGGGATTATGGGGAAGGGAAAACAAAAGCTCGGAGAAAGAGAAAATCTTAAAAAAAATCAAGGAAATTACTAACCTCAAGTATCTCTTCCTCAAGAACTCACAAAGAGAACTTGGGAATTTCAGAACTCACAAAGAGATCCTTCTCCTCTCATGAACTCACTAAGAGATCAAATAAGTAGAATAAGCTTTCATTAACAATTTATCATCCCCAATACAATGCATGAGGCCTCCTATAAATAAGCCAAAAGAAACAAAAACTAAAAGACATAAATGCCCTCGGGGCTACAATATCAAATGACCACCTCTAGGGTTAAAATGGGGAAACAGGAAAATAAAATGAACTAGTACATAAGACACACAAGAAAATAATAAACTCCACATCATAGCCGTCGATCTTCCGATGTGCTCATCATTCTCCCCGGGTGGAAGAAACTCGACTCCGTCGAGTCGGTGTCTTGAGAACTCATGCATATGGGTTGATCTGATGTAACTCTTCATGCTCTCACCATGCATCCTCTGACTTTGGTTTACCTCTTCACCTTATCAAATATCTTCTTCATTCACCTTTTTTTTTTTTTTTGAAAATAATGTCATCACTTGGAATCATGTCAATCTTCTCCGCTATAGGTATTTTGAGAATATTTTTGGGAGTGGAGGTAGGCTTTGGGGTTCTCACAAGATGGGGTCACAAAAGGCTTAAATTCAAGTGGATTTGGGGTTTAAACTCTGGACCCTCATAGGCTACTAAATCTGTTATGTTAAAGGAGGGATTAACGTTGAAATCAACAGATAGACCTACCACATAAGCATTGTCATTGATTTTCTTGATTATTTTGAAAGGTTTTGCACTTTGAGCATGTAACTCCTTAACGGTTCCCTATAGGAATCGTTTCGGATGAATCCACACCATCACTGAGTCACCAAACTCAAGTTTTAATTCGTCGTTTTGATTCAACATGAAGTTTATAATTATTATTGTTCAGTTCAATTAAGCGTGCAATTTCAGGGGATGCGATGCAAATGTGGCATGTTTTATGCGATGTCATGTGTCCAAAATTTGATACTCAATAAGATAAACAATACGGTAAAAATGATGCAAGAAACTTGATATGCATGATGAGTGAATTGAAGATTTAGACACGAAGAAAATTTGTGGAAGACAACAGACTACAAAACACATGCACACATACTAACTCACAAGCACACATATATAGGAATAAAGTTGGTTCAGTCACAAAATGAGAGAACATAAAGTTTCCATGTGTAATGGAACTGGTGTAGGAGGAGAAATGAAGACATCCTTAGCTACAAGGTTATTTCTATAGGAAATTTCGGCTAGGGTCGCAAGTAGTCTCCTAGGGGCAACAGGGTAATTTAGCAAATTTATCCAACTAGGAGAGAGATGGTCCTTAACAGGGAAGGACAAGAATATGGCTGGTAAAATGAATGAATCAGGAACAAAATAAGACGATGGGTCCTGACTCACAGTTATAATGGGATAACCCAAAGAGTCGCCATCAGGTATGAGACTCAATAAATTGGGTAGGGTATCCATAACATAAGTGGGCACAGCAGTTAGAGTTGTGACAAGAAAGTATGGGCTAAGACTCTCTCTAACATTAAAGTCGGTACGAGGAGTGGTGAGATAAGCCCAATTACAAAAGTCATACCCTTTCAAATGCAATTCTAAAGGGGCCACTCCTAAAATAGACTCCCATAAAATACGAGGGTGCTCAATTCTCCAATTAGGTTCAGAACCATTCAGGGTCAAATCACTGTCTCCCAAATTCATACTAATATTCTCAATAGGACCAGGTGTGGTCATAACCCTAAGATCAATGGGTTCCGGTTCAATTAAATCAGGTGATAAATTCAATTGACTCACTTCCAACTCAAGATTATCCACATTGCCATCAGAATTATCCAAAATTAAGTCAGAATTACTCAGAATCATCTCAGTAGGAGATATGATTAAGTCAGAACCTTTCGAATTTAATATGTTCAAGGTCAGATCGGTTTCTTTTGAGATCGACTTAATATCTTCTAGGCAGACCTTATCCAAGGGGTCATCCTCGATGAGACTAGGATCAGGGTGGGCTAATGTGTCGGCGTTTAAAGGTTCCAACTTTCCTAGCTCAGGGTCTAAGTCATGCCGGGAGTCTGATTCAATCACTTCAGTTTCATCCTCAAAGAAATCCTCGTTATCATTAGTATCCACGAAATGGATGTATTCAGTCTCAGGTTCAGTAAACTTCTTCTTTTTAATGAAGTTCTTTATTAGAATCACACTTGCGGGGTCAAGGACTGGGGAGGCTAAAGGTTGACTGGGATGGCTAGAAGTCGGTCCAAGTGGGGAGTCATATGAGATTGATCCAACAGAAGACTCAATAGAGGGTCGTCCATCAAGGTTAGGTGAAGACCTACAGGGTGGG